ATAGTTACTGGGGGTTTATGCTTGGGGAGCTGAGGCTTATTGGGGGAAGATGTTTGCTATGTAACCTTACCTGCTTGTGTGATTCTTTCTCAAATAAATTACCGTGCATTAAGCATACTGTACCCGAGTCTCTCACTGGTACTGGTAATATCCGCCCAGCTGTGGGCCAGTAAATATCCATTTCAACAGATCCCAGACAAAGCAGTGAGGAAGTACAAGAGATTATAACCACAAAAAAAGGCTTTTCCAGGGGCCACTTTTTACACTAAGGAAAGTTTCAGCTCTGTAGTACTGCAAGTTAGTTATAGGAAAATGTAATTCTAATGGAAAATCCCTGTACGGCATAGTATATGTTTAAATGGTAACAATTTTATTTTAAAAAAATTATTAGAAATTGCTGCTGAGGTGGTTTGGGTAGGGTAGGGAGGAACTTGTCTGCTCCATAAGAACAAAAAAAAAAAAAAAGATTATCTGTCACAAAGCTTTATTCCAATCATTTGCTTCACTGTTAACTTTAATTACACACTATGAACTGTCCTGTAATTATGCAACTTGGGAAACTGCCAATTTTTCCTTTTGAATGTTAAAAGTTCTTTAATTTCTTTCAAAGATTCAGTATTACTTCCATCAGTGAATACCATATATTACATGACTGCACCTTTTAAAAGCAGAGCATCTAAGAATTGCAATGGATTTTGTAAGTGGAGCATGAAAAACTGCTGTGTGCTTTACTGAAGTCACTGATATCACCAAAGCCATTCGTTTAAAAAAAAATTAAAAAAAAAGAAGGAAAAATGATAATTCCGCAGCAAAGTTTAAAAAAAAAATCCAGAAGGTAGCAAGGAAACCATATAATTAGAGACAACTGTGCTTTCTTTATACTAAACAACCTTTTTCTCAAGAGACCCCCAGTCACATTAAATGGTAAACAGACAGTGAAATTCAATGACAATTAACATAAATGTCCAAATGAAAAACCCACAACCAGTTGAAAAACTGACCTGGGGTGGAAGAGAAACAGAGTTGTGTAAACAAACTATTTATTCTAGAGAGATGTGTTTTGCTGAACTGTAGCCAGCAGAAAGAGAGAGCGGAAGGAGGAAAGGAATCAAAAGGCAAGAGGAGAAGGTTGTTCAACTTTATTTGTTTTTAATTATTTCTATTTCAGAATTTCCACAACACTGTTTTCTTTCTTCTTTCAAGATACAGAGTTAACCACTCCCTCAATCTCCTTCTAATAGCCTTGTCACCTTCTGCAATCTAATCCCCTAAACTCTGAAGGCCCTTTTTTATTCAGTTCACTAGGCCTCCACCCTTTTATCTCCTTCAAGTATCTACACCAAAACCTTCTGCAAGGCCTACAAATCTTAATTGTTCCCTCTTAGGCCATGTCTACACTACAAAATTAAGTTGATCTAATTTACATCAGCATAGCGCTGACACAGTAATTACATCACTTGTGCGTGTCTACACTTTGCTTCTTGTGTCAGCGGTGCACATCCTCACCAGGACCGCTTCTATTGATTGTACTGTCACTGTGGGGAATTGTGGGATAGTTCCTAAAAAGCCAAGTTGACATAAGCAATGCAGTGTCTACATGGACACAGTGTCGACCAAACTACACTGACTTTGACTCTACGCCACTCATGTAGGTGGAGTTATTAAGTAGACGTAGGGGGACAGTTACGTTGGCGGAAGTGAAATTTAATTGTAGACACTTACATAGTTAGGTCAACATAAGCTGCCTTAAGGGTATGAAGAAAGGCTGAAGGAAAGTAACTGGAAAAAGAAACCCAGACTCACCCTCAAGATGTGTGCATCAACATCTTCAGCAGCCACATGTTCTTATCAGTACAGCCCTGCCTTCCTTACCCATGGTCTTTGTCCATAGCTCTCATGCAGTTTGTCGCAACTAAGGGTATGTCTACACTGCAGATAGACACCCACAGCTAGCTCCTGCCACCTGAGTCAGGCTGATGGGGTTCAGGCTTCAGGGCTGTTTAATTGTGGTGTAGACATTCCGGCTTGGGTTGCAGCCCAAGCTCTGGGACCCTCCCACCTCACCGGGTCCTAGAGCCTGGGCTCCAGCACAAGCCTAGACATCTACACTGCAATTAAACAGTCCTACAGCCCAAGCTCGCTGCAGGTTTTTAATTGCATTGTAGAAATACTCTAAGACTAGCGCCACAGGGTAGGGACTTTGTCTTATTTGTCGGCACTGTGGCACACCTGTTTATAGTGCAATACACTTGTTAATTGTGGAATTCTCCTGCTTTAGCTGAAGGCAGAGAGAAGGCGAGGTGGCATCTTTGGGCAGGAAAAAGCTTGAACATTCTGAGCATAGAAGCTAGAGATTTTCAGTAGAGATGAGAAAGAACCATACAGTGATTATGCAAATCTCTGCACTCTGACAGGCTACCCTCCATTACTAATCAGAATACAGAGGTTTGTATAATGTGTGGTTAACTATGGACTGAACAAATGTACAGTGATTATGCAAATCTCTCTATTTTAACTGTCTGCTGGTTGTAGCATTCTCCTCTGATGCTCTCCCCACACACTCACTCCACTTATTACATACTATTTAATTTTAAACAGAATTGCTTCTCATGGGAAGGAAGGAATCAGGAAGACAGGAGTGGGGCCAGATTATTAATGTTGGGAACAACAGAGATTTAGAGGGAGAAATACTGGGAACCAGAGAACAGGAGGCAAGTGGAAGTAACACCAGGGTAAAGGTGGGCAGGTGGGGTGAGGAATGCAAAAGGAGAAGGAAGCAGAGGTAGGAGAGACATGTAGGCAGATCTGATAGGGAGCTGGACAGGAGGAGCATGGCCTGCTGGGATATATTATAGTGTCTGTCAGTCACGGTGGCAAGGAGATGAGAGACATGAAAGTGAGCTGTTTGCCTGTGATCAGAGTTGCAGCACTCCGGGAGCACTACAAACTTTTGATCTCAGATTTGTTCAGGTATGCTGCTTAAAATGGTGCACTGGAACAACGCAATTCGGTGGGATGAGTACTCTACTGGAAGGATGATCTTGTGATTAAGGCACTGGAATGGAACTCAGAAGTTCCGGGTTCAATTCCTGGATCTGCTACAGACTCTCTGAGTGAGTTTGGGAAAAATCATTTAATCGGTCTGTGCCTCAGTTCCCCATCTATAAAAATGAGGATAATAAGTGCTAGCTTTCTGGGGTGTTGTGTGAATAAATTCATTTATATGTGTAGGCACTCAGATACCCTAATAGTGGGGACCATATAAGAAGATAGATGGAAGGACAGACATCGCTCGGTGAATGGCAATGACTAAACTTGGGACAATTTTAGCAAAAATTCTACATAATGGAAACAAGCTGAACCAGCATGAAGGGGTTAAGTGATATTTAAATAGAGGTTAATTATATGTGAAATGCTAAATCCCATTCTTAATATAGTACTTGCAAAATAAAGATGAATATAAGAAAAATAAATGAAATGTAGTGACTATATATATTCAGTAGAAAATTTCCCTCCAATTTTAAAGTCTATTTGGGTTGCTTAAAAATTATGGCCTACTCTCTTAATTGGGATCATAGGCTGTCCATTGGAGTGCCCCAGTAAAGAGTATTCTACTCTAGGGCTGAGATTTTCAAAGGCGGCTATGAATTTCAGTGGGAGTCGGTTGCCTAATTCTCTTTTAAAAATAAAATAGATTTCAACATATAGTCTCTTAGTTGTGTTTCTTTTAAAACCTACTTTCTAATAAGTAATAATGTTTCAATTTCTTTTTTTATACAGAGTTTAATATTCATTGCACTCCAAGTTACTGCTGTGTTCTTTAATGGCCACATTAGATCTGGGCTGAGAGAGAGAGAGAAGTCTTTAAAGGGCAGATCTTATTGTCTCTTATTATGGTGACATTCTGCTTATGGGTCATCATTGGACTAGATGTCAGCATGCCCTTTGCAAACCTCTCAAGGCTTTGGCATTATTCTGTTTTATGCAAAGCTGTAGGTTAATGAATATCATTTAAAATTCACTTTTAAATGGAGCTTTCCACATACCATATTCCTCTTGGAATTTTTTTTTAAACTAACAATGATATATATGCCTATTGTTTTTCTTCTTGTATTTAGTCTTCTTTAAATAGGTCTCTTCTTCTCTGCAATTGTGCCATTTAGCTGTGCCAACTATCTCAGGAATATTTAATGACTTTCTGGACTTTCACTTTATTGATTTTCTCATCCTCCACTCACTTATAGTAGATAGGCTTATAGAAGGCAAAATATTCAGTTTCAGGAATATAAAGATCAGGATGTTCACATGCTGAGATTATTGTCTGTTAAACGCCTCTATACATAAGGAAACAACATATAACACATTGCTATCAAACTGTCTTTAGAATAACTAAGGTAGGAGGAGGAGTGGGCAGGAACTGGGGGGCAGAAGTGGGGTGTGCAGAGTGAATCATGCTCCGGCTCTCCCTGCGTCCAAATGAAATACATCATTTCCAATAGCTTCCTAGCAGAAGTACCTTAATCCCTAGGACAGTGTTGATAAGGTCAGTTGACAAGGCATATTAGACACACTAAAGGAATCTTTACCTGAGGAGATAAGGTCAGTTTTTGGCAGGGTTAATGGAATGGAGCCGGACAGAGAATTCTGCTTCGTGAGGAAAAAAAAAAAGAAAATCTGCATATTTTTTTACAGAATCTTTCAGATTGTACTCCATACATAACACAGGGCATAAACTTATTTTCCCCCTTCCTTTGCAGGTCATGCTACAAAACATAAAGGCCATTAATACTACTTGAATCAGACATACAACACTGGAGCATTCACGCAAAGCTTTCACAGAAAGCTGTGGTGTTCTGTGCCCTGTGGCTTTCTGTTCAGTTGTTAATTACTCTTTGGGATGTCAGGATCCCATCTGTTTTCCTGGAATTATGATTTAAAAATATGAAATAATCTGTGTGAGCTGTGAAACTAAAACGTGTGAAGTGGGAAAGAACCCTTACCCGGATATATGCATCCTGGTGGTGTTTGGCAAAGTACAGCATGTTGTCAAGGGCTAGCATTCCTGGAGGGGTTTGTGTAAAATCCATTGCTGGGTTTACATGATTCTGTGGAAAAGATAAAAGGTTTACATTATAAATATCTGCACAAAAGCCATCAACCGCATTATTATTATTCATTTGTATTACCATACTGCCTAAAACCCCCAGACTTGGACCAGCACCCCACTGTACTGAGCACTGCATAAATATAGACCAAGGAGATGGTCCGTGTCCTGAAGAGCTCACAGTCTAAAGACAGTTATTATCCCTAGCATGTTAATCACTTAGTTCTATAATTATACAAGGTTGACTTTTCAAATGCAGAAATGACTTAGGAGCACAAATCCCACAGAAAGTCAATGGGACTTGTGCTCCTAAGTCATCGAGGTGCTTCTGAAAATCCGGCCCATAGCATTATTTCTTACATTTAACAAACATATGTGGATAAATACATATGCGTATATACTGACACATACCAGTATGTCTAACAATACAATACCTATGGCAGGGGTTCTCAACCTTTTTCTTTCTGAGGCCTACCCAACATGCTATAAAAACTCCACAGTCCACCTGTGTCACAATAATGGGTTTTCTGCATATAAAAGCCAGGGCTGGCGTTAGGGGGTAGCAAGCAGGCCAATTGCCTGGGGGGGCCTCATGCCACAGGAGCCCCCGCAAAGTTACATTGCTCAGGCTTCGGTTTCAGTCTCAGGAGGCAGGGCTCAGGCTTCAACCCCATGTGGCAGGGCTTCGGCTTTCTGCCCTGGGCCCCAGTGAGTCTAATGCTGGCCCTGCTTGGTGGCCCCCAAAACCTGCTCATGGCCCCCCTGGGGGCCTCGGACCCCTGGTTGAGAACCACTGACCTATGGGACTATATCAAAGATGTAATGAAGATGAGTGAAAGTTACTTAGTTCAGTAGGTAATGCTTAAGATAGATTAACTGTGTTGGCTCTCATAACCTTCTCACATAAAGGGTCACGAGGAGAGCTATGCAAATTTTAGCTGCTTCACTTTGCAGGGGTTCTTGTAAGCATATTCTCAGGTTTCTGAATTTCTGCACGTCTGAATTTCAAATTTGTGCTTGGGGTTTGAATGAATCCAAAAACTCTCAGCAAAACACGGTTGAAACCAGGTCAAACTTGGCAACTTCCAGACAAAACTGCAAAAACCTTCAATTCCACATGCTTTGGACGCAAAACCACAAATCTGTGCAGGTTTGCTAGTGAATCTTTTGATTAAGGAGATATGAAATGTATGTTTTAAATAAGTTCCATGGAATTCAAGGCTTATGTAAACGTGAACATTTGCAGAGTTCTAGACAACAGTACTTCACAGCTCTTAAAAGTAACTTTTTGAAGCTACTCACAAAGGATAGAATCATAGAATGTCAGGGACCTCAGGAGGTCATCTAGTCCAACCCCCTGCTCAAAGCAGGACCAATCCCCAGACAGATTTTTGCCCCCGATCCCTAAGTGGCTCCCTCAAGGATTGAACTCACAACCCTGGGTTTAGCAGGCCAATGCTCAAACCACTGAGCTATCCCTCCCCCAAGGACATAAAACTATCTGAAATTCTTATTTTTCATTACACACGGTGTCTTCAGGACTTCCTTTTCAGTGTCTTTGGGCTTGTCTGTACTTAAAATGATGATCTGTGCTGCTGTAGCACTTAAGTGAAGATGTTACCTTCGCTGGTGGGGTTCTCCTGTTGGTGTAGTTTCTCCAAATCCCTGAGTCTACTACGGGGGTTAAGCTGGTTTAACTGCATCACTCAGGGTTGTAGATTTTTCACATCCTGCGTAACGTAGTTATGCCAGCCTAATTTCCTGGTGAAGACCAGGCCTTCATTTCCAACATTCTAACATACAGAAATGTCCCCAGTCACTCAGAAACAGCATTTCCATTGTACACGACCCAGCTGAAAGAGGTTTTAAAAGTGCATTTATGATCAGAAATGACCCAGAATTCCTATTCCACTAAACGACTCCCTGTGTTTACTCAGGGTACGTCTACATTACCCGCCAGGTCGGCGGGTAGCGATCTATCTATTGGGGATCAATTTATCGTGCGTAGTGCAGACGCGATAAATAGACCCCCGATCGCTCTCCCATCGACTGCTGAACTCCAGCAGTGCGAGAGGCGGAAGCAAAGTCGACAGGGGAGCTGCGGCCGTCGATCCAGCGCCGCGAGGACGTGAAGTAAGTAATTCTAAGTCTATCTAAGATACGTCGACTTCAGCTACGCTATTCTCATAGCTGAAGTTGCGTATCTTAGATCGATCCCCCTCCCTCCCCCTCATGTAGACCAGGCCTCAGTCTCATCCACTTACTTCACTGATTTTACTTCTGTTGGCCCAGAACAGCCAATAAAGCTTTTAGAGATTGAGGGCAGGTCTTCACTGGGGGGGGGGGGGTTGATTTAAGATACGCAAATTCAGCTACGCTAATTCGACGTATCGCAGCCGACTTACCCCGCTGTAAGGACAGTGGCAAAATCGACCTCTGCGGCTTCCCGTCGACGGCGCTTACTCCCACCTCTGCTGGTGGAGTAAGAGCATCGATTCGGGGATCGATTGTCGCGTCCCGACGAGACGCGATAATTCGATCCCCGAGAGGTCAATTTCTACCTGCCGATTCAGGCGAGTAGTGTAGACCTAGCCTTAGATGGGATTCTACTCCTTTTCTCACATCAACAGAATTGTTAACTAATTTCCATCTGGAGAACGTCTTACTTGTAGATGTATGTGAGTAGAAACACTAGCAAGAGGAAACTACACAAAAATAGTTATCCTGTTGGTTTAAGAGACAGACTGAACTTGAGTCAGGCTCACACTTCTAGCCAGGGACAATTGACACACAAACCTAGATTCAAACATTTAGTTATTTTATGTTGAGTAAGGGGCAGGTTGATCAAAGGGGCATTTGAAATGCTAGATTTTAAAGAGGGATCTGGGAAATTCCTCTGGAACTAGATGAGAAACAGGAAGGAGGAAAGGTTACAAGAGATAAGGGACAATAGCCTTTGTATGGAGAATTCAGACTATTATAAGAGCTGTCGGAAATTTTTCAAAATTCAAATTTTTTCAACAAATTTTTCTTTGAATTTTAGAATATTGATTAAAAATTGGGGCAAAATTCTCAGGACAATTAAGTCCTGCTTTTCACCAGCTCTAACTATTACACTTTCCCCCAAGTGATACATCTGAGCAAATATTATATTGTTGAAATGCTGGTATAAATAATCTCAACTAGCATTCCTGCTACAGTAGCGAATTCTTTCTCACCATTAACATCAAAAATAGTCACATACTATGAAGGACCGTGGAAGTTGACAACAGGGGAGAGAAAACCAGGCGACATGACTTAGGGTGGTTGAAAAGGCCAGATGGGGAAAAGATGGGGGAAAGACGGGGATGTGTAACACTCATTGCCCAAAAAGAACAGGAATACTTGTGGCACCTTAGAGACTAACAAATTTATTAGAGCATAAGCTTTTGTGGGCTACAGCCCACTTCTTCGGATGCAGCATCCGAAGAAGTGGGCTGTAGCCCACGAAAGCTTATGCTCTAATAAATTTGTTAGTCTCTAAGGTGCCACAAGTACTCCTGTTCTTTTTGCGGATACAGACTAACACGGCTGCTACTCTGAAACCACTCATTGCCCAGATAGCGATATCAGCTAAATCTAAAGGGAACATACCTAGATGAGCTCTTCAGAATTCCTGAATAGGAGAATGTCTAGATTGCAATAAAACACCCGCGGCTGGCCCGTATCAGCTGACTCGGGCTCAGACTGTGGGGGCTATAAAACTGCAATGTAGATGTCTGGGCTCAGGCTGGAGGCTGGGCTCTGGGACCCCGTGATGGGGGAGGGTCCCTGAGCTCAGACATAATGTAGTCATAGTCCACAGAACACATCTTGGGTATGTCTACATTGTAACAAAACACCCACCGCTGACCTGTGTCAGCTGTCTTGGGCTCAGGCTGTGGGACTATAAAATTGCAGTATAGATGTCCAGCCTGTGCCCAGATATCTGCTTTGCAGTTTTATAGTCCCACAGCCTGAGCTCAAGTCAGCAGACACAGGCCAACCGGGGGTGTTTTATTGCAGTGTAGACATACCCAAGATGTGTTCTGTAGACTGATTCCAATGTTTAAATCTGATCTCTCTGTGTTTTTAATACATTTTGTTTTGATTCAGACCTCTTGAATCTCAAGGCTCCTTTACACACTTTTTTTTAACCAGTTAAAGTGGCACAACTCCCTTACAATGGGCACAGTAATACCAGTATAAAGGAGCTTATAGCACTATAGCTTATTTTGGTACATTTATGGAATTAAGCTATACTAAGGCTAGGTCTACACTACCTGCCTGAATCGGCGGGTAGAAATCGACCTCTCGGGGATCGATTTATCGCGTCCCGTCAGGACGCGACAATCGATCCCCGAATCGACGCTCTTACTCCACCAGCGAAGGTGGGAGTAAGAGCCGTCGATGGGAAGCCGCGGAGGTCGATTTTGCCGCCGTCCTCACAGCGGGGTAAGTCGGCTGCGATACGTCGAATTCAGCTACGCTATTCGCGTAGCTGAATTTGCGTATCTTAAATCGACCCCCCCCTGTAGTGAAGACGTAGCCTAACATAAGCTCCTTTATACAGGTATAACTGGAGAGGGGTTGTGTCACTTTAACTATATCAGTGTGTAAATCAACAGGGTTAAAACTGGTACAAGAACTGCATATAGACCTGCCCTGCTGTTTGGCAAGTTCACACAGTCTGCAATGGGAAGGCAAAACAGACTTCCACCTGTGAGAAGAGGTAATGAAAGCAGCGTGTCTGGAGCCTACCCTGCCTGGGACATGCATTAGGGAGTCCTCTCCCGGAAGGTATGTCCCTTGCAAGGCTGGGTTGGGCAGACACACAGGAAACATCTATGTATCCTGCACAATAACTAAGTTTAAGGGACAAAATATAACAGTGAACATCTCAGCTGCACCTTCTCTACACTTACAACACTCTATAAGTGGAGCAGAATGATGGGCAAGCCATAGGGAACACAATTTGACCTT